CGGGCATAGTATGCCATTCTGCACTGCTAAATGTGTTAGGTGCTCAGGCCCCCACGACGTAGCCAAATGCCCGAACGAGCGTAATCAGGTTACCTGTACAAACCGCCAGCCCCCACGCTGCCAGCTACGGAGCATGCCCTAAATTCACGCAAGTACGGGATAGAGTTATTTTCAAAACCAGAACGACACAACCTCCACCCACGACACAAAACACAGAATTTCCACCTCTATCTCATACACAACGTCAGCCACTGCTCGAAACACTAACCGAATACACTAACATACACAACACTTCCACCTCCACACCTCAGCCCACATTCCAACAAACCCAAACACTCTTGCAAGCGTAACTCACCCTCAACAACACGGCAACACTAACACCCCAAGTCATCGTCAACCTCCTTTCAATGTTGGTAGAACTTAGCGAATTCCCGGACTTCTCTACACGGGCTGAGTGTTTAGAAGCCCTCTACATTATTGCCAAGCGCTACTTTCCCTTACCCAACCTCAAGTCACACCGCATTTCACTCAGAATAACCCAATGCACACAACATTCACAGACACAATAAAAATAATGCATCGTAACTGTCAAGGTGACTTAGTCACCAGAAAAATTCGAAACATACAACATAAACAGATTAACGACGATATTTTAATAATGTTATGTCTCTGGTCGTTTGTGAATTTTTCGTAGAAATTTCTTTCCAATAAACTTCAGCGATACAAGTCCTTTCTTAATTAAAACTGGTTTATTATTTCTCAATTCAACTTTGCAATACACTTAATTTCCACAGTCAATTTAACTTAAACACACATTATAATTCACAACGAACGATTCACGCACTTTACTACCGCTCTTGACTCAATTGTCGGTCTCTATCTCTTCAATCTGCAATTATTCATCTATCTGCCGTCACTTTTCGCCGGTCTTACATATACGAAATAGAGGGCGTTTGAAGAACACTCGAGGCTTCACGAACAGACATGATCTTTCTAGAATCTCATGACGTGTTAGTAGAGTCACGTGACTTCCGCTGTCGTAACAATAATTTCAGAAACTTTGACTAAAGAAAATCAGAATGTTAATATCCCAGGCTTTAAATTCTACTCTTTATCATACACAAATAACAATAGAGGAATATTTCTGTACTTTAAAAACAATATAATTAACATAATATCTATTGAAGAGAATTTTAATTCCAATAGAAGTGAAACCATTTTCTGTAACATCCAAAAAAATAATAAAAATAACCATTCCAGTAGTAACTATTTACTATTCCCCATCTAAAGACATAGATATGAATTACCTCTAACAATGCATGTCGAGAAACCCACAACCCCTAATTATAGGTGATCTAAACACTCCACATAAAGACTTAAATGGAAACAGAAACACCTCAGAGGAATAACGATCCGGGACTTACGAGTCAGAAATAATATGTACATCATAAATGATAATACACCAACACATTATCACTCGCCAACAAACACGTACGAAGTACTTGATCTAATAATAGCCCCGACCACTTTAATAACTAAAAAACTAACTTTACAGTCCATCAAGGACTTTCAAGAGACAACTTCCCTATATCATGCACACACACACGCATACCCCTGACACCGCGGGAACTCCCACCAGTTTATAACTACACCAAGACTGACTGGCAGAAATTTAACGAAACACTCAACAATCATTTACCGCCAATAATGACGCACATAAAAACAAACACGACCTGAACCCATACGTAGAAAACAATAAGTAATGCTGCAGTCGAAACCACCCCGTTCGTCTCAAGACAGCATTCATATAATCACTGGACACTAACTCCTGAGATAAACGCTCTAATTATCGAACGTAGGCGCCTCAGAAGACAACGTGATATTTCACGAGATCCCTCCCTCAAAACTCAGATAAATAAATTAAACACACAAATAAAACAAAACAGTAAAAGAAACAAATTGGCTGGATTTTTGTAATAATTTAAAATTAAACCTAAAGATATTTGGTAAAAAACAAATCTTTATCCTCTTACAAAAATAACAATCGGTTATTTCAACCAATAATACACAATAACATTACAGCCAAAACAGATGCAGATAAAGCAAACCTACTAACAGACTACTACGAAACTTCCTTCACTAACTTAAACTCTCCCAATTTTGGTTTCGATCATCACACTGACGTAAACAGCTTTATCAATTCTAATCCTACACTCTTCACCCGGTTTTCCGGCTACCAACTTATATGAAAACATACCAGTCAATCAGCATAAGCTGATTAAACAGAAAAGTCACTATTACAGAACTAAAAAATCAATATCAAAACACTCAAAAATACAGCCCCAGGGCACGACAGTATAAGAAATATAGTTCTCAAAAAAGCTTCCAACCTCTTACTGTTACACTTAACAAGCATCATAAACTTGTCACTATTTAGTGGATATTATCCAGACATATGGAAACGAGCAGTAGTTACAGTAACACAAAAAAACACAGATCTAACCCGGATAACTTCCGCCCCATTAGTTTGATAAGTTGCTTTGGTAAGCTAATGTGGAAAAAAATGTATCAAACAGACTTTATACTTCTGTGAAACTAACAATCTCCTGTTAGACATACAAAACGCCTAAAAAAAACAACAACAAAAAACAGACAAACAATAGACCACCTCACACGATTAACCGAATCAATATACAAATCATTCAATAATAATAATTTACACAAACTAAATATTAACGAAACAATAATAAGATAGATATCAAATTTATTAACAAATCGATCAGTCAAAGTCAATGACAATATCTAAAACATTCAACATCACAGCAGGAGTGCCGCAAGGATTTGTCCTTTCGCCCCTCCTATATATCTTATTTGTTAATGATTTTACTGTTACGACAGCGGAAGTCACGTGACGCTGGTAACAGGTCATGAGATTCTAGAAGGATCTTGCATTTTCCTGGCAACTCTAGTCTGTTCTAAGCACCTTCTTTTCTAGTATATAAGCCTGGTAAATAAAGCGGAGATATAATTGCAAATAGATAGAGATTGAAGATAGAGGTAATCAGTCAAACGAGCAGTAGGCACCGTAAGTAAAGTGTGTAAATCGCTGTGAATTATAGCGTGTGTTTATAAAAGTAATTAAGTTTAAAGTGGCTGTGGAAATTAAGTGTATTAAGTGTATTAT